GGAGTATCTTAGATGGCCGCTCACAGGCTTTTAAGACCCCAGACACTACTCACCAAGGTAGAATGTAGAGCATTATCTTTATAAGTAGTGTCAGGGCATGATACTTTTTGCCTCCTCCTCCAACAGGCAGGGTCAGTTGCTCAGGTATGGTACAACAGGGCAGGTCCAGTTGAAGGGGAGTTGCTGGGATGGGTTGTTTGTGGCATATACTAGGGCCAACAGGGCGGGCTGGGAATCAGTGCAGGGCAGGTTCCAGTAGGCTGTGCCTGTGCTGCTTGGGTGTGTGATGTTCAGCGCATGGTGCAGTTAGGCAGGAAGGAGGGGGGAGATTGTGATGTCTGGAGCTAAGATGGGTATGGGAAAGAGGAGAGAGAGGAGAGAGGAACATGAGCCAAAAACACAGAAACAAACAAAAAAGAGCGCTAAGGGAGCTTGCTGTTGGAATGGAGAGATGTGAGACTGAGAAATGGAGAAAAACAAAAAGAAAAAAAAGAAAAATGGTAAAAGCAAAAAAAGAATAAATAAAAATTAGAAAAAAAAGAAAAGAAAAGCTCCCACAGATCCCATTGGTGTGGCTGCGAGGAATGGGGAAGTTGCTCCCAGGCCATGAAGTACAGCTTGGCTAGAAGGGGTAGAGGTGTCACACAACATGAAGTATTCAGGAGACAGGAAGAGAAGGTAAGTATAGAGAGACAAGAAACTGAGAAATGAAGAAAGGGAAAAAGAGAGAAAAGAAAACAAACAAAAAATAAAAAAAAGAAAAGAAAAAAGAAATGCTCCCAGGGATCCCACTGTGCATCTGCACAGACTGAGGGAGTAGTTCCCAAGCCGCACAATACTGCCCAGCTAGAAGTGGCTCCCAAGCTGAGAAAAGAAAAAGAAAACAAACAAACAAACCAAAAGAGGACAAATCAAAACAAACAAAAGAAAGCCCTGGGGATCCCACCAGCATGGTGGCATGGGCTGAGAAGCAGTTCCAGAGTCGAGTGGTGTTTCACAGGCTTTCAGGAAGAAGCCACGATGGCAAACGGAGCCAGGTATTTGAGAGAAAGGAGGGGGAGGTGGTGAGAGGTATGGAAGAAATCAAAAGAAGTAGAAAAAAGCAACACCAGCAGCCAACAAATGGCACTCAGGGAGCTGGCCAGTGCGGGTGGGTGGAATCCAAGTGGCACCAGGGTGAGGCCAGTGATTCCCAGCCAAGAGACTGTGGCCAAGGAAGCAGAGGAGGCTGAGTTGGTGTGAAGAAGGGTGGGGGGAGGGGTGGAAAAAGGTATATCACTGGTTACCAGTTGTCCTGTCTCCTGCTGGAAGCTCCGTGAAGCTGCTTTCCCGTACCCCTGTTCGCTGATCTCCAACAGGAGTCCAAGATGGTGGATCTGTGCTGCGTTAGCTGATAGGGGACCTCTGCATGTATCTCTCCTTGCTCTCTGTTCTCTGTCAGTTTCTTATTCCATTCAGTGCCTTGGCTGAATTCTTTATCTCTTCATTTGATGCTTAGGGTTTCAGGACTGATGTTTGTCTCTGTTTGACTTAATTTTTTGGATCATGGCGTGGTCCTTCTTTTTATAGCGCCATGATGCCCCTGGCCTTCCTTCTTAAGGACAAACATCTCAGATCAAAACAAAAGAAAACCTACTGGTAAAAGCAGCCCATCGTTACATAGTGAGTGGCCCCCTACAGCATGTGGGGACGTGTGGTGACATGGTATCGTGCTACTTTTGGACCTGTGTTTGTCTGCACTGTGGTCCAGAGCTAAGGAGTCTTTATGCCAAGACAGTGAAGCCTTATAGGGTGAGGGCCTGACTCCTGAAGTTAAGCTCTGAATGTGACTAAGTGCCAGTTTAAGGCCTCAGGCTTACTCACTAATCCCATCTTCCCTTTGTGCTTTGAATATTGACTTACCCGCTGCTTATCTGGGTCCACAAAGCGGATCCCAAAATAGTCTTTCTCAAGGAGGTTCAGGTGGTGGCAAAGAAGGTCAAACAGGTACTGGCCTTTGGCATCTCTCTGCAAAGAAAGAAAGCTTTATTGAGAAATGAGTGGGCTTGTTTTTACAGTTATTAAAAATTGTGTACAACAGCTGCATACAGATATGAAAGGGGCACGTGTCCATAACAATGTCCTCCATATTGTGATGTATCAGATTTGGGGCTCCCTGGAATTCTGAGGCTTTAAGCCCTTAAAAGGAGCCTAAGAACCCTTCCCCCCTACGAAGATGTCAGAGAACTCAGAGTAGAGTAAGATAAGCCCAGTTCCAATCCCTAAAGCACAAAGTTTTCTTAAACTAGTGGGTGCAAGGAATGTTAGTGTGGAGCACAGCACTGATTCCACCAAGTCCAGTTAGCCTTGCCTCTAAAGTACACGTATCTTGAATCCACCCACTTTTATCCAACTCCCACGGGTCAGTCACCATCATCTCTTGACTGGACCACTGCCAAAGCATTCTAGTTGGTTCCCTGCTTCCCCTCCTGCCCCTTACAATTCCATTCTCCACACAGCAGCTAGAGTGATCACAAAAGTTTTTACACATAATATCTTTTTTTGCATAAGTAGTACACGTATTCAAACAGTAAAAAGGATATACTATGAAAAGTAACTCTCCCTCTCACTCTAATCATCCTATGTTCCAGCTCCTCTCCCTAGAAGCAAGTCCTGTTACCAGCTTCTTGTATATTCTTTATGTGACATTCAATACACAGGCAAGCCCATACCGTATTTTTTACGCAAATAATGTGTGCCTTCTGCGTTTGTTTGCTGGCTGTGCCCTCTCCCCATGAGGCAACCTCACAAGCACCACCATACCAGTCCTCTTCCACATGTTGCTGTAAAAAAAATTAGCATAGCGCACTTATGAAAATACCTGTGGGAAGGTGCAGCCAGCAAACAAACACAGAAGGCGTGCGTTATTTGCGTAAAAATACAGTATGCATATATAAAACAAAACAAACCAGTTGCCATCAAGTTGTTTCCAACTCATGGCGATACCACGCATTTCAGAGTAGAACTGCACTTCATAGGGTTTTCAATGGCTGTGATCTTTCTAACGTAGATCGCCAGGACTTTTCCCCCAAGGCACCTCTGGGCGGATTTGAACCGCCAACCTTTTGGTTAGCGGCCAAGCACTTAAACGTTTGCATCATCCAGAAACTCATATACATATATATCTCTTTAAAATATAAATGATAGCATATTATATATACTATTCTGTTACCTGTTTTTCCCCCCACTTAGCATATCTTATAAATTCTCCTATAGCAGGACATATAGATATGCTTCACAGCTTTTAACGGCTGCGTACCATTCTAGCCCAACCCATTGCCATTGAGTTGACTCCAACTTATAGCAACCTTATATGACAGAATAGATCTACCCTGTTGACTTTCCAAGGCTGTAAATCTTTATAGAAGCAGACTGCCACAACTTTCTCCCACAGAGCAGCTGGTGATTTGAACTGCTGCCCTTTCGGTTAGCAGCTGAGCGCTTAACCACTGCACCACCAGGGCTCTTTGTAGACTATTCTAATGAACCTATATTTCTTTACCTAGTTCCACACTGATGGAATGTTTCTAACCTTGGTATTACAAACTACACAGCATGAACGCACAGTGATTTTTAATATGTTACTACTCCTGCTTAACACCGTCAGTGGCTTTCCATTGCTCTCAGAATAAAATCCAAGCTCTGATCATGGCCTCCAAGGCCCTACGTGACCTGGCTCCTGCCTCCTCTCTGACCTCATCCCAAATAATTTTCCTCACTACACTCTGGCCATGGTCCTTCTGTTCCTGAACACCCCAAGGCTTTTCTGCCTCTGGGCCTTTGCACTTGTTCCCTCTACCTGGAATGCTCTTTTTCCAGCTCTTCCCACAGCAAGCTCTTTCTATCCTTGAGGTCTAAGCTCAAATGTCCCCTCTGCAGAGAGGTGTTTCCCATATAGAATGGTCTTTTCCTGCTTATTTCCTTCACAGCATATATGTTGTTGTTGTTGTCGAGTCGGTTCTGACTCACAGAACTAAACGTTGCCTGGTCCTGTGCCATCCTCACAATCAGTGCTATGTTTGAGCCCATTGTTGCAGCCACTGTGTCAATCCATCTCGTCGAGGGTCTTCCTCTTTTTTGATGACCCTCTACTTTCCGTAGCATGATATCCTTCTCCAGGGACTGGTCCCTCCTGATAAAATTTCCAAAGTATGTGAGACGAAGTCTCGCCATCCTTGCTTCTAAGAAGCATTCTGGCTGTACCTCTCCCAAGACAGATTTGTTTGTTCTTCTAGAAGTCCATGGTATATTCGATATTCTTTGCCAACACCATAATTCAAATGCATTAATTCTTCGGTCTTCATTATTCATCGTCCAGCTTTCATGTGTGCATATGAGGCGACTGAAAATACCATGGCTTGAGTCAGGCACACCTTAGTCTTCAAAGTGACATCTTTGCTTTTTAACACTTTCAATAGGAGTTTTGCAGCAGATTTGCCCAATGCAACATGCACAGCACGTATAACAGTCTTGTAATTATCTTGCTGATTTATTTGTTTATTTATTCATTGCCTGTTCTCTTTCTAGACTGTAATTTCCATGAGGGCAGGAACCTTCCTCAGAACTTAGCACAGGGCTTGGTAGATGGCAGGTTGGTCTTCTGTAATTGTTTGTTGAATAAATAAATAAATGAATGAATAGAAGGTAGAGGGTTGGCTAAAAGATTTCACAGAATGTTAGGAATCTGGGCGGTTTCTAACCTTAACCTACTCCTCCTGAGACCTGCTTGGGCACAAAAATGAGTTGGGAAGAGAATGACTTGCAGGAAAGTGTCAGAACATCTGGAGCTCTGCAAGACCTGTCCCCAGGGGTCTCTGCAACTCAGCTCAGAGGGTTGTATGTGGCAGGTCCCTGTCCAACCCTGCATCCAAATTGAGACTGCCTTACAAGATCCAAAGTATCTCACATTGTGCCAAGGCCCAGGGTCATGGGTGATCACAGAAGGGCCCGACCCTGCTCCAAGAACAGGCAGGTCTTTAAGACCTTGACAAAAGGTTTACACCTCACCTCTGCTCGCTCACCCTATGCAACTCAAGGAAAACCGAGACAGGCCACCAAATCACTCAGGAAGTATCTTAAGAAGCTTATCCTTGCAGGATTTGAAGGATGAGTGAGTGAACAGCTCAACTAAGCAAGGTGGTACCATGTGGGCACCTTCCCCTCCAACCCTGGAGTCCTCCCACTTCACAGAAAGAAAACAGAAGCACAGCTTTTCTCTTGCAGCAGTTGTGTGAAAAACACATCCATTACACATTCCCTATACCTATAAAGGAGTCCTGGTGGTGCAGTGGTTAAGCATTTGGCTACTAACCAAAAGGTCAGCAGTTCAAATCCACCAGCCACCCATTGGGATCCCTATGGGACAGTTCTACTCTGTCCTATAGGGTTGCTATGAGTTGGAATCGATGGCAACGGGTTTGGTTTTGGTTTTATACTTATAAAAAAAGGATCTTCTATTTCTTGTCATTTCTCAGCATCTGGTGAAACGCCCTGGTCTCCACCACGAAGTACCCTCAGCTTCTATTCACCTGTGGTAGATGCTTTGTTCTGAGCTACAAGGCTCTTGCATGGACGGATGAACAGAAACATCTCCCTTTTCTGCTTCTCCAGGGCTGGGGGTGGGTGGGGAGGAGATAGGAACAGAGCCCCTCCTTGTAGCAGAATTCCATGAAGTTTAAATTCCCAGCAGAGACACAAAGGCAGAGCATCTCGGAGCACTGCTGTGGCACCTTTCATGGAGGGTCACCGCATGCCCCTCTCTCAGAGGACTCACACCCGTGGCAGGTGGAGTGGCCTGAGGCAGCCCTCGGGGAGAAGACACTTGCAGCTGAACCATCATAGTAGCTTCCCTACAAGTTGCTGGTAAGGAAATTTCACAACTTCCTTTCTTTGTGGGTCCCTTTGTGCTCCCAGATGCCAAATTTGCTGTGTCCTAAGCCTATCCTTCCTCTCCACGGTTCCCTGCCCTAAGTCCCGGTGTCTGAAATATTCTGTGGCAGCCAGTCTTTTCCTTTGGTGGGATGCAAAGCCCAGCGACTGACTTCCATCTTCTCTTTCTTTTGCCCGAGGTTAGCTTGGCACTACGGCTAAACTCTGTTTTGTGCTGAATGTCATGCCATTGATTATACTGGAGAACAGGTAGTGGCCCTAACAGGTGATTACTGTTCAGTCACAAAGTCAGAGCTCCAGGCCTGAGGACGTTTATCTTCAGGACAAGTGAGCTGAGGCAGAGCACTCAAATCCTTACCCTGCAGCTAAAGCTCTGAGGTTCCTCTCTTCCCGAAGACATTATTGGGTCAAAATTACTTATTAAGCACCCATTTAAAAAATAAATCTATACTTTATAAACCACAACAGTACCTACGTGTATTTGAAAATAACAGCTCATGTAAGTGCAACCCATTCATCCTCTCTCTGTGGTGCACGGAGTGCTTCATGCACCCCTGAGAATCAGTCTGCAGCTCTGAGGTTGGCAAAAGCCCCATTCTTGCTCTTCCATGGAATGCTTGCCTCTGATTCTCTACAGTTTGCTTCATTTTTAGGGAAGGGACCAGGGCAGCAAGCCGGAAACAAGCTTGGGCCAGTGACCTGAACCATTCAAGGTTAATTACATTTTCTGCCTCATAATTATTATCTTTGATCAGGAGAGGAGCTTTTTTCATTTTACGCCATTATGGGGTCAATCCCAGGGGCTCTGGCATGATGGAAGGGGGTTAACATGTAGAAAGTCCCCACTCATTAGGCTTCACCTTGTTCAACCCTGCCTACCTGGGTGCAGAAGGATTTTAAGAGGAAACTCAATGAGGCTTGAGGAGGTTGTACCTCACTCAAGGTCACAGGGTAAGAGTGATCACAACTTTCGCAGCTCCTGGGTGACATGCTGTTAAGTGGGAGCTGGCCATGGTCTCCCGGTCCTTAGAGAAGGCAGAGGTGAGATGGAGGGGAGAGCAGAAGTGAACCCCTGAGGC